AAATATAAGAAATCTGCAAGCGAAGAGNTTCTGTAAATAAAAGCGCTGGGATATGGAGTCAGCAGGTTACATATTTTCATAAATTTCAAAGTCTCCTGTGACACCATAAAGAGGTAAAATTTACTCGAGGCTATGAAGGAGTTTAAAATATCTCAGAAATTGATTAGGAATGATAGGAGCAACTGTGGATCACGTAACATCTAGTGTTAAATATGGAATATTACTTAATATCAGAAGCATTTAGAACATTAACAGTCCTAAGGCAGGGAGATTCCCTGCCGTCTCTTTTATTTAACGTAGCACTAGAAACGGTTGTGAGAGATTCGGGGATAGGAACCAGAGGAACTATAAACTTGACTTGGTTCATTTTGGTCCGTCACACTAGCAATAGTATAGAATTACTCGTATCACCGTTCAGTGTGGATTGATTTATAAAAGTTGTATTTCAATATTTAATATTTCATTTTCCTTAACATGTTTCAGTCGGGTTTACCATCTTATGAAGGACACGATCAACTTTTAGGAAACCACTATTACAATATCATTAATATATAAAAGTTATACCCTGTAACTACATTAAGTACATGAAGTGGTTGGAAAATTTATAAGGTACTGTAACTAATTACTTGCACAGTCAAGTATTTAAAAACAAAGTTATAAAAACTTTTTGTTAAAACTATAACCAGTGGTTCGTGTGTTGAAATTTCTTCTCATTAAAGAAACAAGATTGTTGCCTGTAGTGTTGTGATCCCGTTGTGCACAATGATATTGTAATAGTGGTTTCATAATATTGTTCGTGTCCTTCTGAAGGTGGTCAATCCTACCGAAACATGTCAAGGGAAATGGAATACTGAAATACACCTTCTATAAATCAATCACACCAGAAGGTGTTACGAGGCATTTTATACTAGAGGAACTATGATTGAATGTAATAAAACAATTCAGATAGTTGCATAATATGCAGGCGACTTTGTTTTAGTGGAGAGAACTATAGGCGTGCTGAAAGAAACTATTATAAACCTGAGTAAAGCAGCGAAGGAAATTGGACTTAAAATCAATCTGCAAAAAAAAAAAAAAAAAGAAGAAGAAAAAAATAGGGCACCTAACTCAAGAATG